TGTTAACATTTCTGTGTATTTATCAATAGCTGAACTAATGTGGTTTTCCCTCCTCTATAGAAATAATTGAGCCCGGCTGGCATGGCTTAGTGGTTGAGGGTTGACCAGGAGGTCACGGTTCGATTCCTGGTCAAGGGGTTTTTTCTCCGTAAGATTTTCTATTATAAAGTGGCAACCAACCTTATGAGAGTTAGTTGGAGCTACATATTACTGCAGCACATCAATTAAGTTTAGCTTTATTATTAGCATTACTAGGCTCTGAACGTGCTCCTTAAAACTATCTCAAGGCATAAGAGAATCTCTGAGGTATGTGGAAAAGAGATTAGGTATTTCCCCCATGTCCAAGAAACATATAACCTTATCACAAATATTCCTTGCCTTCCCACCCAAGAAACTGACAATCAAGTCAATAATAATGATGGCATGATGTTGGTAAGGACCTCACCAACATGTTCTGCTTTAGGCAAAAGCTTCCCAAAGAACATACAGAATTGTCTTGTTAGAACTGAGAATTTTTTCACTCAATTTTTATGAGTTTGTTGGTGGTCGGATGAAGGTTGGTATAGTAGGTGGCAAAATTAGTCCACGTCAAGTCTTTCAATATTACTCTCTTGGCACCAAACCCAGTACGGGTCTCAGAGGAACCTCGCTGAGGCCATGGCTGTGACCTTAGGCGTGTTTCTTGAAACAAACTGATTTTAAGCGCATATGACTCAAATTCAAAAGGAAACCTAAAAAATATAAACAAAATTGTTCAAATCCTACTTGCAACCAGTATTCCTTTCCGCAAACATACATGCAGCCACAGCTGAAACAGGCTGCTACTGAAGGCAGCGAGAAAATGCTGCAGGAAAAGAGGATTTCTGGGATGTTGACTAATATTGTCTGTTTTGCCACTGAATACATAGCTGTGGATGAGACACTGCACTTCTAGAAGTGAAAATCGCAATCAGAAAGTAATTCACATAATTCCATCCTACTTCGTTTTAGAAAAAAAAATCAGTAAAACATTAGTTGAATGAATTGAAATTTAAAGAAGCCTTGTGTTATGTTTTTTATATTCCTGATAGAAGGAAAGAACACCTCTTTTGCTGTGTAGCAATTAGTCCAGAAAAAAAGGACACACACACACACACACACACACACACGCGCGCACACACACACGCTTGTGTGGAGCAGCTGTTTTGAGTCCAGAGCGAACAGTGGGGAGCTCAGTGGCAGTATCAGCAAGGAGAAAACTCTGGAGGGGCAAAGCCCAACCTTCCACTCCACAAAGCGAACAGCTGTGGGTACCCGAGGACTTGCTTGGGGCTGGAATGTGTGTCTGTCTTGGATGAAGTGACTGACCCAGCGCATGCTAGATCAAAATACCAGTTTCCTGTCTGTCTCAAGCTGTGAGACATACAGCTTGCTTGAGCTCTGGTGGTGCAGGTGAGAAGTCTACTGAGAATCTAGTGAAGGACCCAGATGTAAATGTATGTGGAGCAGCTGATGCCCTTGTGTATTATGTTTAAGTTAAGTGAGCCATATTTATCCTTGCCTCTTCTGGATTTTCCTACCTGTGTCCCAAGCATTCCCTGGGTAACTTGTCAGGGGTGAGTGGGGCCAAGGAAAGAGAAGTCTGCCTCAAATCCAAGCCCCACTTGGGGCTTCTCTCAGTCCGTAATAAATGTGAGGACTTCAGCAAAAGAGCCTGTGCTTTTCCTTTGGTTTGTTCCTTGTGGGGGAAATGGACAAAAGAAATGTGAAAAGGTGGGTGTTTTTCTGTGTGTGTGCGTGCGCGTGTGTGCGTGTGTGTTTAAATTTCACTAGTGGTTTCTCCCCTAACTTCCTCCTGCACTTATAAAGGGCTAAGTTCCAAATTTGACTTACAAATATGGTTTTGGTATTTGATACCACTGCTTGAATGGTTCCCTGCTTGCTACTTGTAGCAGCTTTTTTGGATGAGCCTGTGTTTCCCTCCTTATTTATGGTGCTGTTGTTCAGATGGTGGTGTCCATATAAAACTTTTCTCATCAGAACAGCTATATGTGTGGTGCAATTGACCTGATTCCTCCCTGAGAGATGCTCCCAGGCAGTGGGGAGGTAAAAACAAAAGCATGCTAATGCAGATGAGCTGGTATGCCTTTTGTCAGCCTTCTGTTTTTAACATGTGCCCTCTGACAAAGCCAAACCTCAGTGCTCTGAGGGGTACATTTCTGAGACCACGGCTCGATTTAGCTTCTTCCTTGGTAACAGGTCCCTAGTCCCTAATGATGGCCGTACACATCTTCAGAGAACATTTGTTTTTTTTAAAATTGAATTTATTGAGGTGACAGTGGTTCACAAAACCATATAGGTTTCAAGTATACAACTCAACAAAACATTATCTGCACACTGCATCGTGCACCTATCACCCAAAGTAAAGTCTCTTTCCATCCCCATTTATCCTCCCTTTGCCCACCTCCACTTACTCCCTATCCCCCTTCCCCTCTGGCTATCAGCACACTGTTGTCTCTGTGTGTGTGTGTACACATACATACATACTAGAGACCCAGTGCACGACTTCATGCACCAGTGGGGTCCCACAGCCCGGCCTGTGGGATTGGGCTGAAACTGGCTTTCCAACATCCCCCAAGGGGCACCGGATATGCGAGAGGGTGCAGGCCAGACCGAGAGACCCCACTGGTGCATGATCAGGGCCAGGGAGGGACGCAGGAGGTTGGCCAGCCGGGGAGGGACCACCGAAGGGTTCCAGGGCGTGTCCTGCCTGTCTCAGTCCCGATCCGCTGGACCCCAGCAGCAAGCTACCGGTTGGAGCATCTGCTCCCTGGTGGTCAGTGCACGTCATAGCCAGCGGTTGAGCCCTCTAGCAAATCCAGTGCCCCTCGGGGGATGTCGGAGAGCCGGTTTTGGCCGGATCCTGCAGGCCTTAGCATATCATTAGCATATTACACTTTGATTGTGGT